CATGGGTGGCAAGTGTGGCATGGGTGGCAAGTGTTGCATGGGTGTTAATAAGTGTCGCATGGGTGTCAAGTATCAAAAGGATGTCAAGTGTCACATGGGTGTCAAGTGTTGCATGGGTGTTGCATGGGTGTCAAGTGTGGCATGGGTGTCAAGTGTGGCATGGGTGTCAAGTGTCACATGGGTGTCAAGTGTGACATGGGTGTCAAGTGTCACATGGGTGTCAAATGTCACAGGGTGTCAAGTGTCACATGGGTGTCAATTGTTGCATAAGGTGTCAAGTGTTGCATGGGTCTCAAGTGTCACATGGGTCTCAAGTGTTGCATGGGTCTCAAGTGTCACATGGGTGTCAAGTGTCGCATTTGGGTCAAGTGTAGCATGGGTGTCAAGTTTCACATGGGTGTTCATAAGTGTTCCATGGGTGTCAAGTGTTGCATAAGGTGTCAAGTGTTGCATGGGTGGCAAGTGTGGCATGGGTGGCAAGTGTTGCATGGGTGTTAATAAGTGTCGCATGGGTGTCAAGTGTCAAAAGGATGTCAAGTGTAGCATGGGTGTCAAGTGTCGCATGGGTGTTAATAAGTGTCGCATGGGTGTTAATAAGTGTTGCATGGGTGTCAAGTGTTGCATGGGGGTCAAATGTTGCATGTGTGACAAGTGTTGCATGGGTGTTGCATGGGTGTCAAGTGTGGCATGGGTGGCAAGTGTTGCATGGGTGGCAAGTGTCGTATGGCTGTTAATAAGTGTCGCATGGGTGTTAATAAGTGTTCCATGGGTGCCAAGTGTTGCATGTGGGTCAAGTGTGGCATGTGTGACAAGTGTTACATGGGTGGCAAGTGTTGCATGGGTGGCAAGTGTTGCATGGGTGGCAAGTGTTGCATGGGTGGCAAGTGTTGCATGTGTGACAAGTGTTGCATGGGTGTTGCATGGGGAAGCAAGTGTGACAAGATTTGCATATGAAGAGCTTACAGATATGTTAGTTTTTTGAGGCCTGTAAATGACTCCTTAGTAAGAACCTTCAATTTGTTGTCCTTTAGGTGCCTTTCAGAGNTTTATTCCTAACTGAAAAGACCTATCCCGAATTCGCTTGACTGAACACGAAATAATGGTTTGAAGTCGAGATTGAACTTGATTCTTTTATTCATCAAGTTCAACCTCGACTTGAAACCATTGTTTCGTGACCAGTCAAGCGAATTCGGGATAGGTCTATTCTTTCTCTTGTAAATCAGATTAGACCAGATTCAGTTCTCCCTGCCTTCCGGTCATGGCTGCCATCACGTGATGGTGCAAAGACAGAGTCCAGCATAACGCAAAGACAATATGAATGAGTTCATATTTTCTTCTGCAAAGCCTCTATTAAGCAAGAATGTTTTGAAATAAAACACGTGTTTTCTAATTAGGACTGCATCCTAAGCACGTGAGTATGTCGTTATTTCACTTTAATCTCATTGAGTTGATAGTATGTGCTCAAATAAATCATGCAAAATCACAGGCAGCCCAAGCAGTGTTCTTGAGGCCTCCATGAGCATTAAAAAAAAAAAGTACTTCAAATTGTAAAAAAAAAAAAAAAAAAAATTCTAAATAAACTTATCTTGATCTGGTCATTTTTCTCATGGGGAGAACTCACACTGCTAAACATACCTTTAATTGAACTCGGAAGACGACAAAACCTTCATATATCGGTAAGTTTGCATCAAAATAAGTTTATAGACAACGATTTTTACAATTTGAAGTACTTTTAAAACGATATTTGTTTAGGCCTCAAGAACACTGCTTGGCCTGCCTCTGGTAAAATTGTACATTAAGAAAGATCGGTGCTGTTAACTTACAAGTAAATAAGTGGCAGAGAAACACTAAAAGTTCCAGGGTGTATTTCTCGGATCTGATTTCCTGTTACATCCCTGAATACGAACAAAAAAGAAAGTAAAATAAAATTGCTCGTTTTTTTAGCTACTTAAAAAATTAATTAAAAAAATTGCACAAACTCAGCTCTTTTATTGCATTATTAGCGAGTTTTTGCATGAGTAGCAAGTGTAGCATGAGTGGCAAGTGTTGCATGGGTGTCAAGTGTTGCATGTGTGACAAGTGTTGCATGGGTGTTGCATTGGTGTCAAGTGTTGCATGTGTGACAAGTGTTGCATGGGTGTTGCATTGGTGGCAAGTGTTGCATGGGTGGCAAGTGTGGCATGGGTGTCAAATGTGGCATGGGTGTCAAGTGTCACATGGGTGTCAAGTGTCGCATTGGTGTTAAGTGTCACATGGGTGTCAAGTGTGGCACGGGTGTCACATGGGTGTCAAGTGTTGCATGGGTGTTGCATGGGTGTCAAGTGTGGCATGGGTGTCAAGTGTGGCATGGGTGTCAAGTGTCACATGGGTGTCAAGTGT